AGATCAAGGCATGAGCGTTGTTAACTTTTTTCTATTGTGTAGGCCATGGTGGCCTGAACTAACAGAGATCCCTCTATCTCTTAATCCTGATTAAAGGTGTGTACCACCACTGCCTGATCTCTAAAGCTTGAGTCTGACTGAGCTTTCTGAATCCTCAGGCAAGCTTTAATAAATCATAAATAATAGATCACCACAACACAATGAGACTATGTCTCAAAACAAACAAAAGCAAAAAAACGAAACCACAACAAAATAAAATAAAAATTAAATCTCTGTGACAATCCAGTGGCATATACTCATCTGAGACAGGGTTTCTCTGTAGCTTTGGAACCTGTCCTGGAACTAACTCTTGTAGACCAGGCTGGTCTTGAACTTACAGAGATCTGCCTGCATCTGCCTCCCGAGTGCTGGGATTAAAGGCATGGGCCACCAGTGCCCGGCGGATAATAACCATCTTTGACTATATAAGAAGTTTGAAGTCAGTCTGATCTGCAAAAGGCTCTGTTTCAAAATAAAATAAAATGAATTAAAAGGAAACAAAATGAAACAACTCAACTTATGGTGGCTGATCTTTGTCAGCTTGATTGATTTAGAATCACTGAAGACACTCTAGAGACACATACCTCTAGCTGCAGTTGTGTGGACATTTAAAGGAAGATTAACGTAGCTGGGAAGACTTAGCTTGAATTGGTGGCAGCATCCATGTGCCCTGGGACTGGATGGAACAGGAGAGGAAAAAGGAAGAGGTGATCTGAGTACCAGTTTCCTCTCTGCTCTGTTTTGAAATGTGGGTGGTAGGTAGCATGCTGACTGGTACCCGCAAACTGTGAGCCAACAAAACCCTTCCTCCCTCAGCTTCCTTCTTATTGGCTATTTGGCCCCAATCATAACAGTGACGATAACAATGCTAAATTGCATTGTCTTGCTTTTAAAAATCAGACCACATTTAGGTATTCTATTCTGTGTGGTTTTGCAAATAAATTCACAGATAAATGGGAATATGGGCTGTAGCTCTAACAGCCCTGATTATGATTGTTTTAAAGAAAAATTGAAACATTTGGTTGTGTTTCCCACAAAATCATAAAACATTAAACTATTTTCTGAAAGGTGATCGGTTAGTTTGTAGCAAGGAATATTCAAGTAAGAGCAAATGATGTCTCAGGAAGAGTGGCTAGCATCTATTTCTGTTTCAGGAAATGCCACCTGGTGCCACGTTTGTTTTCCCAGCTCACCATGGTGAATTTGAGCAAGTAATAAGTATAGATCAGATAAGATTAGGTAATATAAAAGGTCATCGAGTATTCTAAAGCATTAAATGTTTCTAAATGTTAGAAAACACATGCAAATTTAGCAAAAAGTTTTCCTTTCTTTACTTTACAGGAAGCTGGGAAACAAAAAGGAATGTTTCAAACTGCCAGATGTTAATCAAGAGCCACTGTATGGAGAACACACCATCTGTGTCAGGCGGCAGTGTGGTCTGCTGTAGGCTCAAGTTACTTTTTACTCAGTACCAATGGAGCTGCATGGTAGGTCAGATAGGTCTGCACCCCAGGATTTCAGTGAGGCAGTTTAGGAAGAGACACCTGCAAAAATTCCAGGGCTAAACTTACCTTTGGTTCCTTTAAGAATGTCATGGAAGACAGAACTAGCTAGATTGTCTAGAAAACAACTGTTAACACACTTAGCTACATCCCTTCCGTGACTGTTCAACGAGCCCCGTGCCTCAGCCTGCCTGTTTTCCCCTTCTCCTAGATCGAGCCCGCCCCATCCCAGCCTGCTTGGCTTCCTGCCTTCTCGGAACTGTATTATCCCAGTGTTAAATCTTTTGTGCCAGTGCCAGTGCCGTAGCTGTCAATTCAAGAAACACCAAAGTGATTGCCAAGCCTCCGAGAAACAAGTGTCAACACTGGAAGATGTCTTGGTCACCTCCTAGTTTCCATGGGAATCTGCAAGATTAGGCAGGAAAGGAAATGGAGATAACTGAACAACCTAAGATCAAAACCTTGCTACAGTGGATCATACTATAGATCATGCCTGTTCTGCAGTTCTGAGGATATGTTGCCTTAGAAGGACATGCTTGCAAACTTTTTTATTGAAGTATAGAAAAATAGGGTTAGCCAGGGATTGGTGGCGCACGCCTTTAGTCCCGGCACTGGGGAGGCAGAGGCAGGTGAATCTCTGTGAGTTTGAGACCAGTTTACAGAGCTAGTCCCAGGCTTCCAAAGCAATACAGAGAAACCCTGTCTTGAAAAACCAAAAAAACCAAAACAAAAAAAAAAAAAAAAAAAAAAGTAGTATGTATTTAAGTCCATTAAATAGTATTACATGATCACAGCTGTATTATTAATTTCTGTGACTCAAAATAGAGTTAAAATTGTGAATTCACATTCTAGAACATTCCCAGGCTGACCTGTGAACTTCTTATCTTCCTGCCTGTTCCTCCTGTGTGCTGAGATTAATTACAGGTGTGGGTCATCGAGTGCGGTTTATTTGGTGTTTGGGATAGAATCTGAGTTTGTACACCTGCTCTCAGTAAGGCACACTGAGCCCTAGCCCTAGCCTGGTCCACATCCTCAGTTTAAAGTAGTGTTGGATTTCATTGTGGCGTGCTATATTCTGAGTGATGCCTAAAGCAATGCACGGCATGGCATAGTACACTGACCACAGAATTTCATGACTTCTGAACAAGTTAGCAAGTTGAATTAAGGACAGAGTCCAATATATAGATCTCTCTTTCTCTCTCCCAGTGCAGCTTATGGGATTTTAAACTCTGTTAACTACAAATAATAAAATGATTGTGCAACACAGTTGGAAGGAAAGCAAATTTTGAGATAGAGATCAAATTGTGTTTATAGGATCTGTTATTGGCAGCCTTGTCATCAGCCACTTCCTGTGGGAATATTCACTGGGGAATATTTTTATGCCTTGATTATTCATGAAACAGCCTTGGGCTTCTACAATAAAAATGTTCTAGCATTGACAGTATAAACAGCACAGTGCAACATTTCATCTTCAGAATTAATATTATTTTTCAAACTGTCTTTCCCATTTGTTACTGAAAGAAATTTAAGACAACACCAATATGCCATGATCTAGTGGAGAGTCGAGCAACAGACTGGAAACGGAAGCTACTTGTTTTCTCTAACACTGCTGTCAGTAAAAACAGTTCGCCATGTACAGTGTTTAAGACATGGTATTTACCACAGTACAGGATAGTAGTTTCTGTCCTAAGAAAATGGATGCATTTTGAATTTTCTCATAAGGGAGACAAAATACGCATACAAACTATGTAAAACTAAATAGGTACAACAATATGTCTCAATAAACATGACAAAGATGTGTGTGTGTGTGTGTGCGTGCGCTGGATAGCGGTAAAGGATTGTTGGAGTTTGATAGAACTTGAGATCATGTGATGCTCTGAGTTGAAAGTAAGGATGGGTGGATGAGTAGTTCGACTCCCAACCCCTACCCCCATACATTCTCATGTTTTTTTAGTGTGTCACAGCCATGTGTAGATGTTAGAACATAAAGGGTCCCCACCTTCCAACATGTGGGTCCTGAGGACACAACTCAGATTGAAGTCATCAAGCTTGAAGGCAGGCACCTTTGTCTGCTGAAAATTCCTGTCACTTCCTTTGTTTAGTTTTTTGAGAGAGGGTCTCTCTAAACAGTTCAGGCTGTCCATCACACGCCCCCACCCAATGCCTCCTCCCTGCTGCTGACAATACAAATATGTACCCCACCACACCAAGCCCAGGATGAGTAAGATCTCCACAAACACAGATGTAGGGGACATTACTCCAGGAGGCAGAGAGACAGGACCTAACAGACAGAGTATAGATGTAAGCCAGTTTAGATGACGGAAGCTTTGCTGCAGAAAACACAACTCACATAGAGGACCACACTGGAATAAGTTAGGACCGAGCTACTTTATTTTGTAAGCACCATGTGGTCAATTACTGCTTTTCCAGGACTTGAGTACCTACTAAGTGCAGGTATGTGCATTACGAGTAGCCCAAAGGCCACTCCTAATGTATGAAAACTAAAACGTGTATCTGAAATCAGGGATGACGGTAACACTGGTTCTTGTCTATCATTGCCAGGTAAGTTAAGCGTGAGGGACTTGGATTTGGTGTTGCTATACAGAGAGCATAGGCCTTCCTGTTTTCTGAGAGTAAGCATTTCCAAATTCCACCCTTTCTCCATTTCAATCCAGCTGTTTCCAAACGAAGAGCCAGCATCTTTGCATTTAAAAGTTGTAAACTAGTGTTTTTAATTTGGTAGTTTTACCCAGGACTCTGATATCTGTGGCTCCATTTAACATGTTTCCCTTAGAGGAGGAATTAACGTTGGGTGAGCACGCATCATTTTTACTGAAGGAAAAACGGATTTGAAGGAGAGGAAACTGCAGTGATTTAGGGCATTTAAAAAAAATCCTTAGCAAAAAGGAATTGCTGCAAATTCCCTTTTTCATTATTTATTTTTATGTGCACAGTCGTTTTGCGTGCGACTGTCTGTCTACAACAAACACACATGCCAGAAAAGGCCAGAAGAGGGCATCCGAACCCCTGCAACTGGAGTTACTGAAGGTTGCGGGCCGCCAGGGCTGCGAATCGAACCCATGCCCTCTACAAGAGCAGCCCGCGCTCCTAAGAGCCGAGCCACCTCTCCAGGCCCGCAGATTCCTTTGCAACAGCTCCGGGGGCGGGGAGGGCAGGGACCTGATCGGAACATCTGGGGAGCATCGCTCCAGTGAGATACACCTGCACTCACCCTGGATCCATCCAAACAGTCTTTGTTGCCCTCAAGCCGGGACTTGCTGCCCCGGAGCCACGCCCCCCGCGGGGGGCGGCGGGGAGGGGCCGGGGAAGGTGTCGGGGCGGCAGCGGGACCCGCCCCACCTTTCCCTCCCCGCCGGCCCCGCCCCGGGAGCGCCCACCTCGGCCAGGCTGCGCGGCGGCCCGCGCGCCCCGTCGCGGCTCCGGCTCCGGCTCCGGCTCCGGCTCCGGGGCATGCGCGCTGCCGCGCCCGCGCCCTGCCCCCACGGCCCGCCGCGGCAGAGTTATGCCAAGTATGTGAGGCGCTGGCGGGCACCGGCCGCGGTCATGGAGAGCCGCCGCCTCCGCCTCCGCCCGCGCGGGACTCGGAGCCAGCCCCGCGCCCAGGGCGAGGCGGCGCGCATGGCGGAGCCCCCGCGGAGGACGCTCGGCCGGCTCCGGGAGCGCCGCGGCCCCGGGACGCTCGAGCCGGGCGCGGGCACCGTGGCCGCTTCGCTCCCCGAGGGACGCTCGCCGCCCCGCGGGCTCGTGGGCCCCGGCACGGAGCGGCCCGCGTGGGGCAGCGGGGTGCGCTCCGAGCGGCCGGGCGCGCGGCTGCCGTGCTCTCGCGGGGCTCCGGAGGCCGCCGCTCGGGGCCGATCGCCGGATCGCGCCATCCCGGGCCCCGAGGGCAGCGGCGACGACGGGGAGGACGAGGGCGCCGACTACTACGAGAACCTGCCCGCGGGCTGCGCGCCCGAGGGGGCGGAGGCGCTGCCGGCCTCGCCTTCCCCGGCGGCGGCGGGCTCCTCCCCGGGGGTGGAGGGCGGCCGCCTGGAGACGGGCAGGCTGCAGACCCAGTTGCGAGAGGCCTATTATCTGCTGATCCAGGCCATGCACGACCTGCCCCCTGACTCGGGCACGCGGCGGGGCGGACCCGCAGCAGCCCGGGCTCCGGCCCAGCAGCCGCCTCTCCCCCACGGCGCAGCCGTGCGCCCAGCCGGCGGCCCCCGAGGCGACGCCCGCCCTTCGCAGCAGGTGTCCCCGCCCCGGTCGCCTCCGAAGGAGTCGGTGGTAGGGCGGCCGCTGAGTCCTCGGATGAGGCTGTCCTGTTGCAGAAGTCTCGAGAGCCTCCGCGTGAGGCCGCAGTCGCCTCTGCTCCAGCGGTGGGCGAGCGACAGCTGGATCTCGTGGGGTGCGCACCGGGACAGGGACGAGCCCCCGCCACGTGGAGGTGGGATGGACGGCTGGAGCCGGGGCGGCCACCGGGCGGCTGCGTCCGCCGTGCTCCTGCCTTCCATCTGCCAGGACCCGGGCCGGTCCTCGGGGCGTCCCTACAGGGATCTTGCGGCGGCGACCTCTGTGAGAGCCAGCAGCCTAGAGGACCGTCCCGAGGGGCCTCCCCTCCTCAAGCCACCTGCGGTGACAGTCAAGAAGCTGCAGAAGTGGATGTACAAAGGACGCCTGCTGTCCCTGGGGATGAAGGGTCGCGCTCGTGGGCCCGCAGCCAACGTTCCCGGAGCGCAGGGAACCTCTCCAAATTTGGGCAGTTGGAAAGTGCATGAAAACCACGTCCTCTCGGTGACCACGGACCAGAGAATCACACTGACAGGTAGGGACACTTTGCAGTCAATATGCTAAGCAACCTTCCAAATGCTGCGACCCTTTAGTACAGCTCCTCATGTTGCGAGACCTCCAACTACAAAATCATTTCCGTGTTACTTTATAACTAAGTTTGCTAGTGTTAGGAATCCTAACGTAAATAGCTGATACACAGCCCCGTGGCGGTCGCGACCCTCAGGTTGAGAACCGCTGCTGTGGCGTTTACAAAGTGGGCTTCTGCCAAGTGTTTTTGCAGACGGTCGCGTGACTCTGCCAGTGTCGCGCATTAACTGTGTTCCTCTCGCCCTCCCTTTCCCTCCTCCTCCCTTCCTGCTTTTTCCTTCTTTCCCTTTTAGGATTTTTTTCTTCCTCCTCCAAGAGTAAGCGCTCTCCTCCCTTAGGACAACAGTGACTAAAAGTTAAATTCTTTACATGCTTTTTCTGTAGATGGCCCACACTGTCTTGATTTTTCTCTCTAGCTCTAGGCAAACCCTAAGGCTTGGGAAGCTTGTGAACCTGAATTTGATCCAAGGTAGAATTTTACAGGCTTCATAAGCTGTCATTTTACTTATTAGGCCTTATTTCTTCTCACCCAGGTACTCACACATACTTGAGCTCAGACTGGCTGGCCACACACACATAAACAGACCCACCGCACAGCCCAACTAAACCCAAAGCTAAGATTTCATTCACTTGTAGAAAACCTAGGCTAATGAAAATAAATGTCATTCAGCACTTGCCCATGTCCAAGCGCCCAAAGTCACTTGGAAACACTATTTATAGTAGAAAAGAATTTTTTAAGCCTGTTTGTCCTTATATAGTGTTCACGCTGCTTGGTTTGGTATGTGTGTGGTTTGTAGTAATCACTGAAGGTCTAGGTTATCAGTTTTAGAAATCTCTGAATCTTGTAAATATCAGAGTTCTCTGGTGAAAGAAACTCCAAAACCCTGTGGTGTCTCACATCCCTTAAATACAGGGGCTTCAGTGAAGAGTTTTAAAAATAGTAAGTACTGAAAGTGATGGTTTCATGGAGTGTGTATGCATTCCAGGTGCGGTGGCTTGCATCTCTATCCCAGCACTCTGGAGGGAGGCAGAGGCAGGTGGGTCTCTGTGAGTTCCAGGCCAGCCTGGCCTACACAGTGAGACCACGTCCAAGAGAGTTCCTTCCGTCATGGCATTAAATCTGGAGGTGCTACCAACTTCAAAAAGAAATTAAACCAAATAGTGCAATTCCTATACCAGTATTTTATGAGAAGTCTAGCCTAAAGCTGCCCAAATCCCCCATGTAAAAACTTCGTCTTCCTTACCTCCGTTCATATCACAGTTTATTCCTTAGGAAGTGAAAATGATAAAACAGTTTTTTAGCTTCTGAGATGTGGGTAGTTGAAAGTTTTTCTCCATGGTCTGCACTGTTCTGGATTCTTTTGCTCCTATCTTCTCCCCATCCACGATAAGGCCATTGTCGCTCAACACGAAGGACCTAGAGGTAAGGAAGGTGCTGAAGGTGTCTTGCTGCTCTACAGATTCACATCGCTGCTGTACAGAGATTCATGCCGTCCTGTGGATTCAAACTCAGTTCTCATGACTCAGAAACCTCACCGTAGAAGGTCCAAGAGACTCAAACTTCTCTAGAGGCTTGATCCAATTAATTTCATTAAATGGCTTGACCTGAGGAGAGGGACAGAGTTTTATAAACACGCTTTAGAGCACAGAGAAGATAGGGGGGGGGTTCTAGAGTAGTCTTCAAAACCTTTAAAAGAATTTAATGATAATTTAGTTCATTTTTAAACTGAAATGTTATGTGTATGGTGCTTACATGTATTTGTGGGCACTGCGTACCTGCCTGGTTCCTTGGAGGCCGTCCTCTGGAACCGGAATTAGACAAGCTGTGAGCCTCCCTGTGTGGGTGCTAGGAATTGAACTAGGGTCCTCCGAAAGAAAAGTGCTCTTTTCTGGTGACCCATCTCTCCTCCATCCTTGCTGTATTCCTTGTACTTAAAGTTGATGTTACTTGGAATTCTCTTGAGTCGTTTTGTTGGGTTGTTTATGTCGCTCAGTGGTAGAGTAGATGCTTAGTAGGGTCAAGACCTGGCTTTGATTGCAGAGTCTTTCTTCCTCCAACACATGAGAGAGAATAAAATAAAATTCCCGAAACTGTTTTCTTTTGAAAAGTTATACAAAAGTCTGGTTTTGAAGCAGACTATTCTTAGTTGTACAAAAGGAGGTATCTTAAAGGATTTATATCACATTTTCTAAATATTCATAAGGATATTTCCTTTCAAAATAAGATTGCAGTTCAGAATATAATAGCTATGTAGCAGGATGGAGTTACCCAATCTGAGTATTTTTAAAAAGTTTGGAGACTATTATGACATTGGGGACAAGTGGCTTTCTGTTTTGCTATCTGGCTCTACCAGGGACCGTTAAACTTTTGATGGTATTATAATGCCAGCAGTGTGATGCATTTAAGTGTGTAGTGTTCACAGATTGGCCAATTTGTTCATAATTGAGATGATTATTTAAGAAATCTAAGTCATTACACATAGTAAATATTGTCAAGTTCCTGCAGGCCTTAAAATTATGAAGGAATCATAGTTTATTTGCCAGTTGAACTTCATTATAAGTCTTAGCTTTAATTAGCGTGTAATTTTTAGAAATATATTTTGGGGCATCAGTGAGGTTTTTTTTTTGGCTGTTCATTCGTTGAGCCCCTTTGACTCCACTCTTGCCTCTGTGAAGGGAGACGTGGTATGTAACTGTTACTAACTTAACCTGGAAGTTTTAAGGTACTGTTACTTAGATGGCATGGTCTTTGTTGTTGCTTCTGTAGCCAGTGCTGGTCTTGAACTCCAGATCTGTGAATGACCATTCTTTGTGGAGAATGGCCTAGGGCTCCCTGCTCTGTACCCACCGAGCAGCACCCCAGATTCCTTTTTGTATGACCTTTTTTGTTTGTTGCTTTGGAGATAGAACTCACTGTGGAGATCAGGCTGGCCTTGAATTTACACAGATCCTCCTGCCTCCTGAGTGCTGGGATTAAAGGCATGAGTCTTTGTGACTGGATCTGCCCCTCTCTCTTGCCCCTTTTAAGGTTTATTTATTTGTATCTTATGTGTATGACTGTTTTGTTTGTGCACTGATAGGTACAGATGGTTGTTGGCTGCCATGTGGGGGGCTGGGATTAGAACCTGGGTCTTCTAGGCGCTCTTAATTGCTCAGCCATCTTCCCAGACCCCCAGATGGAATGATTTTTAACCATCATAAGTGAAGCTGATAGCCTAGTACAGATTCTCATCTACTACTTTTCTGAACGTCTGGTTTCATGATTGCTTTTGCATTGACGCACCTTCAGGACCCCCATCATTACCAGCAGCATGGGATTGGTTTCTGAAAGTCTTCTCTCTTGAAATCCCATGTGGCACAGCTTGGCGTCCAGGCCTTTGGAAGCAAGTGCAGCTTTTTTTCGTTTGTTGTTTTGGGAGAGTGCCATGGAACATTGGAGTTGCTGGTGGCTGGAAAACTTTGAGAATTACAAAATCAGCAGAAAATAGTGTCCTGTTGGTTTGAAAGTCCCGTGCTTCTAAATCAGTGATTTCCAATCCAAGAGATGTCTGCTGATCTTTCGAGAACATCTTGGGCTGTTTTCTAGGCCCTTTGCTGCAGAAGATTTGCTGTTCACCATTTGAGAAGGATGTTTGCAAACAGTGCATATGGATTCCTGGAAAACCTCTTCAGAGTGTGGGCAGGGTCCTGAGCCTCTGGGTTCTAACAGGCTTTCAGTAGACAGATGGTACCGTTTGGAAGACCACCCTTTAGTGACATCTGGAGTTCTCACGAACCTCAGTCTAGAAAGACTTCCTTATTTAATACCTGATACTTATCCTGACCCCAGGTAGAGCAAAGAAGAGAGCTCTCTCTGCTTCAATCTTCTATGAATTAGTAGTTAGTGCTTATAACATGTGATGTATTTAAGCAGTTGTCCTGATCCCATCTCCCACCAATCAATACTGGAGATATTGGAACCTGCCCAAGAGGGGAGCATGGAGGAACAGTGGTTAATAGGTTCTGGACTTGTGGACAGACTTTACTTCCTTGACTTTAGACAGGATACTCAGCCTCTTGTGGCATTTTTTTCCTTAGTCTGCTGTGAGGATACTAAAATAATCTGGGACTGTGAAGGCCCTAGGCCCTGGCAGGTTTTGTGAGGGTACTTTCTTGCCTAGTTGGAGTGTGAGAAGATTGAGGAGTTAGGCCTGGGGGAGCTTTGAGGCTGAACTAGAGAGATACCCCCACCCAGTGGTACTTCCTTATTCTGTTCTCTCCAATGCCTCCTATTGCCAGGCAGGGGTGGCGCACACCTGGAATCCTAGAGATCCCAGTAGGTGGGTTCTATGAGTTCGAGGCCAGCCTGGTCTACAAAGTGAGTTCTAGGACAGCCAGAGCTACACGGATAAAACCCTGTCTCAGAAACAACAAAAGAGGACAGCTCAAAGTTTTTCTTTCTACCTTTTCGATGTGAGAGTATGGTTTGCTCCGGGGTTTTTATTGCCAGTCATAAGGGGAGGAAAAAAAAAAAATGTGTCTCTCCTTACCCCCTACCCCCTTTCAGATTTATAATCTGGGAAGTGCACACGAGTTCCGTTTTCTTAAACAAACAGAACCTAAGCTTAGACTTCAATGTCCGATGCTTATAAAAATGCTTTTATTTGAGGGTTTTAAAGAGAAGAAAGGACACCGTTTCCTTCAGGAGATTTTAGGGTGGTGAGAAGATTCCCATGGATGCTGTACATTTTCAGTTAGCAGTGAAATACATAGTGGAAATTATAGCTTCTGAAGTCCATAGTTGCAAGAGAGTGCTGTTTTTGCCCTGCAAGTTGACATGCTTATTTTACTTCCATCTTCTTGTGTATATACAATCTGAAGCAAGGTTTAACTCTTAACATCTGAACAATTGAATTAGGCATTACCTTTTAGCATAGACAGGGAGGGTAGAGAAGACTACACACAGCCTTCCAAGTTCAGTGAGAGACCCTGTCTGGATAAAGCAAGATGGCAGGGCCTGGAGAGAAGGCTCAGTGGTTAAGTGCCTGCCTGGTTCTTGCCGAGGACCCAGGTTTGTTAACCAGTACCCATGTGATGGCTCACAGCCTTCGGCAACTGCAGTTCCAGGGAATCCTGATGCCACCCTCTGCTTCTCTGAAGATCCGCACAATGTCACACACTGTCAGACCACACACACAATCACAAAAATAGCGTCTTACCACATGCCTGTCCCTTTTAGTAGCATAACACTTTGATTAAGCACATCAGCTTGTTTAGACATAAGATGCTAATAGCTTTGTTTTTGTTGCTGCTGTTCCTTGGAATGTAGTCCGTGTAGATGCCTGTCAGGGTTAGTGTGGGATGTATAGCGCGTGACAAATAATGATAGGATGCAAAATAATGTACCTACCTGTCTAAATTTTTGGGTGTAGTTAAGGAACTCTGAGAAGATAAACAAGATGTGACTCCTAGCTTCAACGCTGTAATTGTGTCAGAGCTGTGTGTAAACAGTGTCCTGTACAGGTAGGGTATGCCATTACATAATAAGAGACGTGGACCGAAATGTGAGGTAGCTCTAAATTTCAGAGCACTGGGCAAGAGCCTGTGGTCCCTGGGAACCCAAGTCCCAGTGATGTCTGTTCTTGTGCTTGCTATCTTTGAACGTGAAGGAGAGAGAGCTGAAGAAACTTTTTTTTTTTTTTTTTAATATAAATTTTGTTTTTATTTTAGTTTTCCAAGATAGGGTTTCTCCATGTAACCCTGGCTGCCCTGAAACTTGCTCTGTAGACCAGGCTGGCTTTGAACTCAGAAATCCGCCTGCCTCTGCCTCCCAAGTGCTGGAATTAAAAGCGTGCACCACTGCCTGACTTATTTTTCAATTATGGGTCTATGTATCTATGTCCACGTGAATACTGTTGCCTGTGGAGGCCAAAAGAGGCGTTATCCTGTGGAGCTGGGGTTCCAGGGGTTGTAGGCTTCCTGATATGGGTGCTGGGAACCCAACTTGTGTCTAATGCAGGAGCAGTGAGTGCCCTTAATAACTGAACCATCTCTGCAGCCCCAAAGAGAGACACTTGAATCAAGTTTCCATTAATTAAAAATATTAAAAAGGAAATCATTTCAAGGTATTTTTGAGTATGTGTCATGTTTGCACCTTCATCCTGGAGGGTGGAGGTATTACTCTCTTCCCATGTTTCTGCAAGGGAAGAGTAGGGATGGAGAGCTGCCTATTCTGTTTATCAGCTAGGTGGTCCACAGAAGACCTTGACATCACTCTTTTATGAACAGCTACCCCAAAAGGTACAATGCCGGCTGTCTCATGTTCAGGGAGAGGTGCTTCCCTACTGTGAGTGGGCTGTGTGGTCTGTGGGGAGGGGTAAGGGTGCTAGTTGTCAGGTTAGACAGTTGAACACCACTCATACTCACAGGATTGCTGTAGAGCAGTGGTTCTCAACCTGTGGGTGGAGGGCATCACCTAAGACCATTGGAAAACACAGATACAATTCATAACAGTAGCAAGATTACAGTTATGAAGTGGCAATGAAAATAATGTTATGGTTGGGGGACACTACAACGTGAGGAACTGTGTTAAAGGGCCACAGCGTCAGGAAGGGTGAAGGCCACTGCTGTAGAGGGACAGGGCATCCAGAGCTTTCTTGCTGCTTTCTCTCTCTTGCCTGGTACCTTGAGTAGATCAATGACTTACATAGTAGGAGCTCTTGAGAGTTAGAACAGCCAAGTGAGCACTCAGGAGGTAGAGGCAGGTGGATCTCTGTGAGTTCCAGGACAGCCAGGGCCGCACAGAGAAACTCTGTCCGGAAAAACAAAACAAAACAAACAAACAAAAGAGCTAGTCTAGATTGTATCTAGAAATAGTTGAACTCAACCCTCAATTTGTGATAAGGTTTTGCTTTGATTAGCTGCTTGGTTGGGTACCTGTTTAGGTTTAAATTTGTATTTTTAAAGTTTATTTATTTACATTTTTATTTGTTTGTTTGTTCTTTTCAGTAAATGGAAGGCTACTGAAAGCCTTGATTTTACATGGACCTAATTTTTTTGTCATGAAGCTTCTCATAGCTTAATGTTTTTTATCACTGCTATTAAATCATTGTTTTATTTGCTGTAACAAGATGAATTAGCTGTATATATATTCAGACTGTAATAACAGTATAATCTAATAATATGATAACAGTAATAATAGTAATAATTTAAAGACACGATGTGATCTCAGATTTCCACAAACGTGGCTGTTCTTTCATTTTGTGTAGTGAATGTTGTTTTGATAGATACGTGCTTAGCTTGGTCACTGCCACTTAACTCTTAGGATGCAGAGGAAGCGGACACTCCTTTAGTTGAAAGTAAGGTAACATTGCTTATAACATTGTAACACTATACTGACAAGGTACACATGGAAGTGTCTGGGGTCTTCACTGGATTGTGGGAAGGGGCTATTTTGTTCAACATTTATCTTTTCCTTGTGTTTGTGCTTTAATTAAAGTTAAAAATTTAAAGGGCTTTTATTAAAAATTAATCTCTGTGAAAGTAAAAGAATGCTACTTTGTGCTTCCTCATGACTTCTGGCCGTTTTAACAGTGAGTTGGATATTATTCAGATATCAATTTAAAAAGTGTTCCTAAGACACTTTCAATAAGTTATTTTGCTTAGAGCGAGGCTCCAGCACTGTTGTGTTTTGCAATAGAGGCAGTGTGAGCTTGTTTTTTATTTTCCCTTAGAATTTCATAACCCTCAATAACCACTCGAATTTCTGACTGAAATTATATTTCCGTGGAAAAAGCAATGTTTTTGTGATTTGACTTTGATCTGTGACTATAGTTAATATCACTTCTATTTTAAACATTTTGATAGCTGGTCCGAAGTGACATGTCTGTCTTGCTCTGCGCGACATTACCATGTTCTCTTGTCTCCTTTGAAGCAGACTTATTTGAGAACGACGGTGGGTCTCCACTGAGGAAGAGAGAACCTGTGGATGTAAAGGACAGCACAGAACTTAGAGAGCGCCAGCCCCTCAACAGCATCACTGTCTCAAAGAAACGCAATTGGCTGTATCAGAGCACCCTGAGGTCGCAGAGTCTGCAGGAGAGCAGATGCAATTTCTCCTCCCTCTCCCCCGCGTCTCCACACAGACACAGGCAGTTGCCACGTTCCTGTAAGCCCCCCAAGAAACACTGCACACATGCGATGTGTAATGCCGCCAGCTCTTCCCCATCGGGACACTGCTCTTTAGACTTCAGTGAGGACACCGATGCCGATGACGAAGGAGAGATATGGTATAACCCCATCCCTGAGGAAGATGACCTTGGCCTAGCGAGTGCCTTGAGACTTGAGGAGGCAAAAGCTGCCACGGTGAAGCTCCCTGCTCTCAGAGTGAGCATGTTGTCCGCTAGAGACCTGAGGAAGGCTGAGCCTCATGGTGAAGAGTCGCCGTGCCCTGCCCAACACACAGGGGATGCCCAGGCTATACCGTCAAATGGAATTATTTCTGCAGATTCCATCCATTCCACAGAAGCTGTGCGGCAGGGCAAGCACAGGTTCGGACGCCGGGCCCCAGGGATGATGGCAGAGGACAGCCCCATGTTGAAATCTGCTTTTACAGGTAAAAATGATTGTACAGCTGAATTTTCTTTTTTCCTTTTCAAGTCTGTGATAGTTCCTAAAACTTAGATGATGTCGGCCGTATGTCCTTAGAAAGGGAAGATGTTTCCGGTAGCGATGGCTCAGCTTTTATAGTGCTCTTGTGAAGACCTGAGTGTGGGTCCCACACCCACATCTATTTGCTCACAATCACAGCTACCTATAGTTCCAGCTCCCACAGGATCCAGCACCTCTAGCTTGGTACAACAATACCTCTTGGTGTGTGTTTAAGCATTTCTTGTTTTATACGTCTCATAGCTGTTTTGTGATTTGTTTGGTGGTGTAATTCTAGAATTCTAGAATAGAATTTTGTAGTAATTCGACTCCTAAGTTTTAAAAATCAGCAATTTGTGTGTGTGTGCGCGCAAGTGTGTTCACAAGTTCGTGTCAGGGACAACCTTGGGTGTCTGTCCTCACCTTCCACCTTGTTTGAGGCAGGACGTCTCTCTTCGTTGCATGTGGCATGTGCCAGGCTGGCTTCACTTCCCGGCTCGAGGTAGCACACTGCCCACTGACACACACTACAGCACCTGGCTTTACACAGGCTCCAAGGACTTGAACTTAGGTTCTCGTGCTTGTGCAGGGGGCACTCTCTCACTGAGCCATCTGTGTAGCCCCACATTTTTCTTTTAATAAATTCCCTCTCATCTGCAGTAGAATCTCTAACATATAACACGTTTCATTTTTAACAACTAACGACTTAGGTAGGACACGCTTATTAACAGTTTATAAAAAGAACCTTGTCATTAAATTCCTTAATAATGTAGGAACACACAGAGCAGTTTAATACACTGAGCAGCCTTCCTATTAACAGACCAGGTTAATGTTAGATAAAGCAGACCCTGATGGCTACAGCACGTTCTAGACCAATGACCCAATAGGATTGTGATTGGCAGTACAACGGATGCTTTGTCCGATATGAATGAAGCACTCCAATCCTTACCAGCCGTTTACCAGAAAAGCCCAGTGTGCCTACTTAAAACAGTCCTCTTTCTGTAGAAAGATCGTGCTTGTTGTCAGGGCACAGGGATGCGCAGAAGGTGGCTTTCATGTTAACTATTTAAGAAAGGTCGATTAATCTACTGATCTGAGCAGATCTCATCTTAACCCGGAAATAGTTTTTCTGAGATTAGATTCTGGCATTAAGGCTATTGGATCTTTATCTAAAGTAGTAGACAAAATCTGGAAATTGAATATGAAATACTTGGGATGATGTTGAATTTGCGGGGGTGGGGAGGTGAAAGGGTGAGGGGGAAGCATGTATTACGAGCAGTTTCCTGCCAGCCTGGTCCCACAGCTGCGTCAGCTGCAAAATAACACACAGACTCAATTAGTTATAAGCTGTTGGCCAATGGCTAGAGCTTTCTATTTGCTAGCTCTGTCTTAAATATTAACTCATTTCTATCAATCTAAGTGTCTCCATGTGGTCTTACTGGAGAGAGAGAGAGACAGAGAGAGAGACAGAGACATCGACCGGACCTCTTATTCCTACATCTTGACTTTTCTCTACTACATCTCCCAGAATTCTCTTTGTGTCCTCGTCCCGCCTATCTTGCTTCCCTATTGGCCAGCAGTGCTTTATTCATTAACCAATAAGAGAAACATATTTACAGAATGACATCTTCCATTAGGCATGTTTTTCAAGACAGGGTCTCTGTGTAGACCAGGTTGGCCTTGAACTCAGAAACCCACCTGCCTCCACCTCTCCAGTGCTGGGACTAAAGGTGTTTGGCACTGATTTTTTTTTTTTTTTTTTAAAGAAATTTTAACTTACATATTTCAGAACGTTCTTTTTTCCTTTCCTTTTTTAATTTTTTTGGTTTTCTGAGACAGATTTCTCTGTATAATAGTTCTGGCTGTCCTGGAACTCACTCTAGACCAGGCTGGCTTCTAACTCACAAAGATACACCTGCATCTGCTTCCCGAGTGCTGCGATTAAAGGTGTGCATCACTACCACCTGGGTTCAGAACATATTTTTATTTTGTTTGATTGATTTGAACACTTAGTAGGAACATGTAAATACTCAAAAATGAAATTGATTGATCTGTCCTTCTTAACTGGTTTTGCCAGAACGAGCTTTTCAGGAAGTTTAATTGGATGTAGAATATCCTAATCAATTTTTAGAACAAAGAGGGCCTCTCTCCGCTGCCCTATTACGGATTTCGGTGGTTTTTCGCTGTTTTAAAGATGAACACTGCTCTGTGTAACACTCGGCTTTAGAGGGTGTGGGTGCAAAAGCGGCGTTGTGGGTTAGAGTTGTGTTTCTAGTTGGATGTTCTGGGATGGATGCTTGTCCAATTCCTCCAGAACGTAAGCCGTCATTTAAGCATCTGCACTCACTGGAGTGGACCGCAGAGGGACATGTGAACAGGGAGTCCGTGACCCTGGCTGCGTGACATCCAGCCTACCTATAAAGTAGAAATAAGAGGTTGGTACACTCTCTTTATAATGTTCTTCTTTTTTTCTTTTTAAGGTCCTGGGATCTTGGTTTCTACAAACAGGACTGAACTGAGAGCTATGGAACCATCTTCTCCAAGCCCTAGCCCTGTGAAGAAAGGCAGTTCAATTACTTGGTCTTTGCCAGATAAAATAAAATCTCCACGCACTGTGAGGAAAATATCCATGAAAATGAAACGGTTGCCAGAATTCAGCCGGAAGCTGGGTGCCAGGGGACCCCCACACTACGTGAACAGTCCAGATAGTACGTCACCGTCGTCTAAATGTAACTGCCGTGAACTGCCTCATAGTGTCACTGTGTCCTCTGGGAACCCAACCAGGAACGTTATAAGCCGGTACCATCTTGATACCACTGTATCATCTCAGCACACTTACCAGAAGAAAGCCACTGGGAGCTCCAAGTATTCCTGCAAGGGTGGTTACCTCAGCGACGGAGACTCACCCGAACTTAGAACCAAATCTAGCAAACATGGATCCGAGCACAAACTCGGAAAAGGGAGAGAAGCCATTCCAAGCAGTTGTTGCAAAAACGAACTAGATATAGATGCCTTTAGACATTACAGCTTTGCTGACCAACCCAAGTGCTCACAGTACATATCTGGGCTCATGAGTGTGCATTTCTATGGTGCAGAGGGTTTAAAGCCACCCCGCATAGATTCCAAAGACGTCTTTTGTGCAATTCAGGTAGACTCAGTAAACAAAGCCAGAACAGCTTTGCTCACCTGTCGGACGACGTTTTTAGACATGGACCACACTTTCAACATAGAGATCGAAAACGCACAACATCTGAAACTGGTGGTCTTCAGCTGGGAGCCCACTCCAAGGAGAAATCGAGTGTGCTGTCATGGCACAATTGTCCTGCCTACTTTATTCCGCGTGACAAAGACACATCAGCTGGCTGTCAAACTTGAACCCAGAGGCCTTATTTATGTCAAGGTGACCCTCATGGAACAGTGGGAGAATTCTCTCCATGGCCTGGATAAAAACCGTGAATCGGTCGTGTTTGGGGTTGACATTCAGAAAGTCGTAGAGAAAGAAAATGCGGGCTCGATGGTGCCGCTGTTGATACAGAAATGCATCATGGAGATTGAAAGGAGGGGCTGCCAGGTATTTCTCTGTGTTCCCTACTTCTCCTTTATTAGTTGATGGTTAAGTCTGAGAAAGGAATCCAAGGTAAGGTTGGAAAAAAAACAATTTAGCTATTTCCCCAGCTCTGCTGTACTTGCATTACATTATTCTTGGAGTGTGCATCATATCTTAGCTTTGGTTGCCCGTGATTGAGAGCCTGCTAGATGGTCCCACAGTTTAGGTTCTGAAACAGAACTGTGTGGGGCTTTAGGGCTGCAAGGGACTAGATTCTTTACAACGATCTGTCTAGAAAAGCTGGTTACGCCGAAAGGCTCGGTCCCTTGATAGACATTTCTTCGTGCATTGAAATCCCAGGCCGTTCCAACAATGTGTCACAGGGTCTGGCTTCATATCTGAGAGTAACCTCATCCTTAAGAAGGCCGCACTTACCGGCTCTTTACTCTGAGGGGAGGTGAGGAGAGCTTCTATTGGTCAGATCACGTGTCCGTGTTTTGTTTTTGTTTTGCATGGTGTGTGCCTGGAAGCCCATGGCAGCTTGGAGAGGGTGTTTGGGTGCCCTGGAACTAGATTTACAGACAATTGTGAGTGGCCCTATGGGTGCTAGGAATCGAACCAAGCTCCTGTGGGAGGGCAGTCAGCAGCTCTTAACTGCAGAAATAGTGTTCGTGCTTCTAAAATAGAATGGCAAAGGCCTACAGAACAAACGTTATTTGCAACACAGTTTGAAACACACCAGAAGTAGGGTGTGTAACCTGGAGAGCTTCAGCCCAGACACATGATTCCGTCTGGTTTGTGTCGTCTCTTTGGAACAAGTCATTTGCATTACTGCCCAACTTCTAGTCAACTATATTTTATTCATAAGGGTTCTAGTTCCTCTCCTGTCCCCACCCCACCTTGTGTAGAAACTCAGTGATTAGGCAGACTTTAAAGTTAATCATTAAATAGAAACTTTCCAATTTATAATTAAAACAAGGAGCATAAGCAGTATTACATTATTAGTTTATTTTATAAAAGGTGTATAAGGACTGCTATTTTTGCTGGGTGATGGTGACACATGCCTTTAATCCCTGGAGGCAGAGGCAGGTGGCTCTGTTGGGTTCGAGGCCAGCATGGTCTACAGAGTGAGTGCCAGAGAGACTCCAAAGCTACACAGAGAAACCCTGTCTCGAAAAACGCAAAAAAAAAAAGAAAAAGAAAAAGAAAAACGATAGATTGATCGATAGATATCCTGGACTAGGGAGATGGCACAGCAGGGAAAGGATGTTGCCTTCATATGTGGACCATGGCAAAATGGTGCACACTCAGGACGCATGCCTCATGCACTGGTGCACACTCAGAACGCATGCCACACGCACTGGTGCACACTCAGAACGCATGCCACACACCCTGGTGCACACTCAGAACGCATGCCACACACCCTGGTGCACACTCAGAACGCATGCCACACACCCTGGTGCACACTCAGAACGCATGCCACACACCCTGGTGCACGCGCAGAACAGATGACTCTGTCATTGTAATACAAAACAAAGACTTCCTGTGACCTAAAATCTTTCAACAGTGCATTAGGAATTGTATGTTGGTTTAAACCACAACCCTGGTCCTGAATTCTTGATCCTTCTGCCTCCGTCTCAAAGTACCCACACTGCAGGCATCATATGTGGGGGCTGGAGAGATGGCTCAGTAGTTGAGCTCCTGCTGCTCTTCCAGAAGACTGAGGTTCTGTTCCCAACACCCATGTCTAGCAGCTCGTCTCAGCCTGTGACTTCAGCCCCAGGGGAGCTGACACTTCTGGACCTGCACTCATATCACACACACACACACACACACACACACACACACACCACACCCCTGTACTCACACACACACACCTGTACACACACACACTCCTGTACACACACACACTCCTGTACACACACACACACTCCTGTACACACACACACTCCTGTACACACACACACACACACACACACACTCTTAAAAATAAGTGTTTGGGCCTAGAGAGATTGCTCAACAATTCAGAGCACTGTCTGCTCTTGCAGAGAACCTGGACCTGATTCCCAGCAACCACATGTGGCTCACAATCGTCTGTTACTCCATGTCTAAGAGACCTAACACCCTTTCCGACCCCATGGTCACCAAGCGTTTTCATAGTGCACAGACACATGTGTGGGGTAAAATAATGACTAAAAAGTCATTTAGAAAGCTGCATATTTTTAAGAAGTATTTGCTTTGAGTCCTTCCCTTCTCTCGCATCCAAGAGACCGCGTGGAAAGGGGTCTGCTAAGCCTGTGCTGTGCAGCCTGCCACACATTGTCCCACTTAAGTTTTGTTTGGCCCTCTGCTACTGTTTTTGCTTTTTTCACTGTGAAAACCATTGGTGCGCAGAGAGAGGGCGTGGCACAGACATGTGCTTCCTGTAGATGCTCTGGCCACTGCTGCCTCTGCTTCCCGTGGGAAAGGTCACACCAGAGGTCACACTCGCGGCCCGTGCGCTGTAGCTCAAGTGTGTTCGTGACTCAGCCTCTGAACTGAGGGCTGCATCACAAATGTCCTTTCCTTGATGTACACTCAGATCTTCGTCCTTTAAAACCTGTGTTTGTAATTTGAGCTTTTGGGGATAAGACGTTTGATCCGCTTACTGTCTCAAGTAGTAGTCTTACGTTTATTTCATCTTCAAGTTCAGAGGTGTAAATCTTTTTATTTTTTTAACAGTTTTTTATAAATATTTATAGTATTTTATTATACTTAAATGGGCCTTTATCGAAAGGGCTGGGGTGCAGTTGGTTACTATGGAAACATTTCCCTTGATCCTATTTAACATTTGGGCTTTGTTCTCTTTGTCCTGTACATTTAACCTGAAATGTTACTTACCTTATTTGTGGGTTTCTCCCAGATGGTGGATCCTGTTTGCTGGTCAGGACCATGACAGAGAGGTGGCTTCTCTGGATTTTATGCCTGCCAGTTGCCTGGATTTTCTTTTTTAATTATTAGTATTTTATTCCATGTGCGTGGTGTTTTGCCTGCACTTGTGTGTAAGCACCATGCGTGTGCAGCCCGCTGTGTTTTCACCGTGTCTCTTGAGACGGTGTGGTAGCCCTAACATGCTCTCCTCAGTATCAGTGGCTCGGGACCTTTAGGACCTTGAAATGAGAACCGTCTTTCCAGCATAGTCCTCAGCTTGCCTTGGGTGTTGTTGACCCTTTTGCAGGTAGGAGCACTTAGCATGAATGTTTACCCCTTTGAAGTAGAGTCAGGTCTCTGCCCGTGTTTCAGTTAGCACAGCTAGTCGTCTGAGTTCTTTGGACACCATTTGTCCATGTTGTTGGTGAAGCTTTCCCGTATCAAACCCACCTCTCTGCTGTTGTCTTTCAGCCTGGACATTTCATTTGACTTCTTCACCTTCTGCTCACTGAAAATACCCTGCAGATCCCTAATTCATATTTTGAGAGGATTGTTCATGTTTGTTATTGTGAAATAGTTTTCTGTAACTGTTCCTTCAACTCAGGTGGCTGCTTTTTAAATAGTCTTTTGATTTGAAAGTATAGGCGACAACCCCTTATACTCCTTAAATTCCCTCCCTCCCTCCCTCCCTCCCTCCCTCCCTCCTTACCTTCCCCCGCCCCAATACAGTCTCTTGTAGCCCATGCTGGCTTTGAATTTACTATGCATCTAAGAGTGATTGTGAATTCCTGGCCCTCCTGATTCCAGCTCCCAAGAGCTGGGACTATGGATATGCATGCCACCACACCAGGTTTTTATGGTGTTGGAGATGGTACCCAGGGGATTCTATTAGCTGGACGCCCCCCCCCCACCTCCGTATTGCGGTTAAATAAGGATCAGGATAAACAAATAGGCCGAATAGATGTTTATTCAGGGAGAAATAACTTACAACCTAGACAGATGAACACCAGGAAATTCAACCCGATCCTCTCCTGTCCCAGTCACGCCGGAAAGAGAGGCCTTTCCTGGCCCCCTCCGACCTCCTTCCACAGGTCACTTCCGCCCATGGCTCCACCCCCCAATGGGCGTGGTCAGTGCCACAGAAGGAGACAAAGTGAATATCCCACTGCACCTCCGTTTCCTTAAATTACTTGAGGTTTAGTCTTTCAAAAGAATCTAGTAGATTAGCCTGAGATTTATTTATTTATTTGTTGTTTATTTTGGGGGGACCAGGTTGGCTTCCTCTCTTGGGTGTGTGTTGAGCTTCTGAAGACTTAATAATTAGAAGAGCTGGCAGTGTTTACATGACAAGTATTTTTGTAGGGCCTGGAGTAAGCACTGTCTTTGTAACTATCTATGACTTTTAAAATATGCTTTACTTTTATTTTTAAAATTTGTTTTACTACCTATTTTTACCTAAAATAGCTTTATTTTTTTTTTCCATCACTGTATAATCAATTACCTTGAGATCCCAGAAGCTGCATTTGGGTTGTTACAATAAATTTAGGGTATTTCTGATTGCCAAGCTCATGTGATTTATACCTTTGCTTTCATGACCGTCTCGGTAATGTGGCGTTTTGTTTCCAGGTTGTAGGCCTGTATCGATTGTGTGGTTCAGCAGCTGTCAAGAAAGAGCTTCGAGAGGCTTTTGAGAAGGATAGCAAAACTGTTGGTCTGTGTGAAGACCAGTACCCAGATATAAATGTAATAACAGGTAAAAATAGACTTTATTCTCTGTTCGTTCTGGAAAGACTACACCGGAAGGAAGGAAAGTGGAAATCCGCGTTTATTACCTACGCTCAGTTTGATTTCTTTCTGAATGAAGTCTTACTTTCCTTCCTCCGTAAACTACTGCATGTTCTTTTCTGAGGGGAGATGCTGAGATATGGCTCCATTCTTAAACAGCCAACTAAATTCACCACAGCAGACCTGCGTCTTCGTGGAGAGAACTAAAATGCCCCGGGAGTTCAGTTTTCCTGTCGCGTAGGTGGTTAACGGAAAGGAAATGGTCGCCTGATGAGAGAGTTTAGATTATTTAACAGGTAGAGGGGCTCCCTTAAAGGTTCTGGAGTAGGGGAGTGGGGTCACTAAAGGCTGTTTTGAGGGATCTTACTCTGCAACTGTGTGTGGTGAACTGAAGAGAAGAAAGTTAGGGAACTATGGTGATCTCCCAACATCACCCTGATGAGGCCGAAACACACTGCAGTGTGGGGGGGGGAAGGGGGTGGGGGACAAACAGGCATCCGGAGCTAAGAAAAAGAAATGATTCTGGAAGGTAGCTGGCCATGCCCTGTCCGCAGAGATAGACTAGGGGCGCAGAAATGCTGTCTCAGTGTTGGGAAAGATCAAACCTGAGTTTTGAAGTAGGAGATGTGAGTGGAGAGGTCAGGTGGAGTGGAAAGTTCCCATCTGCTGCGGAGGAAGATGTCCTTTCCCCTCCAGAGACGAGGTCTCCTTGGGTAGCTTACGCGGGCCTCAGATTTGCTACCCCCCTGCCTCAGCCTTCCTTGTGTGGGAGTTACGGGTCAGGGCCACCATGCCCCGCATGAGGAGCGGTCTTTGCCCCAGTAGTGACTACGGCCCAGCGCATAGCAGTGCAAACAGTACTAGCAGTTGTGAGGCACAGAAAATAGGGAATTTGAGAATGACTGGCATAGAAATTCAATCCTGGGATTGTCCATAACAGTTTATAAAGGCAAGAACTTGGGAAGTGTTTAAACTTTGGAGGCAGGCGAAGAAGGAAGAACCTTGGAAAGTTCGGAGGAGACAGAAAGTTTGGGAAAGCAGAGCCAGCGGTTGCTACGGATTATGTGAGGCAGCAGTATGGTGTGGAGGGGCGTCCCTGGGGAGAATGGGAAAGGTGTTTGCATTTGAGATTGCTCCTGGCCTTTCTAATAATCTTCTGGGTCTGTTCTGTCACCTACAATTTCCTGTGGCTTTACTTTTTAAGTACTAAAGTTTTGGGGCCGGTGTGGAGGTACGTCCGTTCCGTTCACCTGGTTCTTCACATCCTGTAGCCAGACTTGCCTTCGCTCTCATTTATTTGATCCTCTGCAACCCAAGATCAGTGAGAAGCAGACCCCAGACATCAAGCCCTCCCAGCCACAGGTGCCCAGTGGGTCCTCTGTTTTCGCTCTGCACCTGTGCTCTATTGCCTGACATTTTCTTTTCCTTATGTGTTCATGTTTACCTCTCCTGATTTGTTTTCCTATTTTATGCATGATGACTTTTAGGTAAGAATTTAAGGAAAATGACTTGTACCTTGAAGTGTACTTTTAGGATCACAGCTTTAGGAATAGTTGAAGCTCAGGGTGCCGAGTGGCTCATATAGAAACTTGTATAGAGTGTTTCCTATCATCTTGAATGATGTAACTTTGAGCTAAAGCAATTCACTACTAAGAGAGGCAAACCAAGGTATTTTCCCTTTCTTATGGACATTTCATTTATTGACTTTCTTTTGAAACTTTTTAAAAAAATGATTTATTTATTTTTATTTTATGTACATTGGTGTTTTGCCTGCATGTAGGTCTGTGTGAGGGTGTTGTATCCTCTGGAGGTGGAGTTACAGACAGTTTGGAGTTGCCATGTGGGTGCTAGGATGTGGTAATGTATTGTTTATGATTTAATAAAACCACTGGAGATCAAAATGCAAAGCTAGCCACAGCCATAGAGCCAGGCAGTGGTGATACTTTAACTCTGCCAGCCACACTAGTTAGCTATGGAAGCTGGGCAATGGTGGCACACACCTTTAATCTCAGGACTCAGAAGACGGAGGCAGATGGATCTCTGTGAGTTCAAGGCCATACAGGGTTACATTAGAGTGAATCAGTCTAAAAGAGAAACAGCTCACACAAAGGAGATAGATAGATCTCAGCACTTGGGATCACACGCCTTGAATCCCAGCTTTAGAGAGGTATAGAAGATAGGAGCGGGCATTCAGTAGTCAGTCTCAGAGGTTTATTCTCCAGCCACGCTGAGGACAGGACAGCCCTTTCAGCCTGAGGTAGAGGTAGTGGCCGGCTGCTTTGCTTCTCTGATCTTCAGCTTGAGCCCCATTATCAATCTCTGTGTTTTTATTATTTGTGGTTCACTGGGAATTGAACCCGGGTCCTCTGTAAGAACAGCTAGTGCTCTTACTTAGCCTCTGAGCCATCTTTCCAGCTCCTCATTTTAGTTTTGAGACAGCCTCACTATGTAGTAGTTTTGAGACAGCCTCACTGTGTAGTTCTGGATGGCTTGCAGCTTCCCATGGAGACCATGCTGGCCTCAGACTCACAGAGATCAACCCATTTTCCCTCCCATACATCACCATACCTGGCTCAGATACATTTTTAACAAATCAGAAACTAGGTTTCTGGTAAAGAGAGGCTTATTACTTAAAAAAAAAAATGAGATAACATATTATTTGTAAAATTAGCAAAGGGTTCATTTTGAGAAGTCATTAAAGGAAAAGCTTATAGATACCTGTTTCTAGGAAAGTATAAACAAAAGTAAACTTTTGTCTCTGTGACGCCTTAGCTTAGGAATGAGAGTAATGCTTGACTGTTTAGGGATGGAAGGTGTGATTTGAGACAACTCTTTTGTTTAAGAAGGGATCCTCGGGTTTGGATACTTGCAATGTTTGTAGACATGAACATAGGTTAGTGAGGGTCTGGTTTGTAGCGTTCTTTTGTAAATAGGAGAGTCTAAAGCCACAAACTACATGGTTCTTGCCTCTGTTATTTGCACTGTTCCATTTCAGTTAAGCTATTTTTCAAAGGAATTTGGAGCTGTTTTCTTTCTTGATTAAAAATACGAAACAACAATGGAATGATTTGTCTGAGAAGTGGCGCTGGGATCGGGATAAATTACACACGGGGTCTCCGAGCCTCCAAAGAGAGTGTCGTGCGTGCGTTCGGGAATTGGCCAGGGATGAAGTTGTCACATGTGTTTATTCTACATGAACTCACATTTCTGCCCAAACTCAGGAAAATAATAGCTGAGTGAGACTAAACACAGAAGTGAATGAAGTGAATGCTGCCGTGTGTTCCGAAGTTCATGTGTATTTAGTGGTCTTTTCCGCCTGGAACAGAATGGAACGCTTCAGACAGTGTTTTTAGAATAGGTACAGAGTTTAAGGAGGGAAGTCTTGATACCTTGTCTCTGGTTGTAGTTTCCATCATTTTACGTGACTTGAGCATGCAAACAACAAGTTCAGAACTGGCCTCAAATTTACAACCCTGCATTAGCGTCCCAAGTACTGGGCAGGATTACCTGTGTGCCACCTGTCCTGGTGCCGGGCGACCTTTACGTCAACTCGACTTCAACGACTCACTCCTAAGGTCTGACCTGGCTTTTGTTATCCAGAAACCGTTTGTCTTCAGCATTTGAATTTATTCCATCCCAGATCTTTCCTGTCTCTCCAGCTTTCTCATTATTTTCCAGTTGCTTTTTCCCACTGAGTCAGTCTCCTCTAATGTACGTGTGTTTGCGGCTTCTTCCTGAGTCCCCTAAGTTATAATATCCCTTTCTGTGGTTCATTATTTCAGTTACTTCCATCAAGGTCCCGAGTGTCCTTCCATGGCCTCTTCTTCGTTTCTCCCATCTAACAAAGCTTCCAACCTGAAATGCCAGTAGTTAGTATTACAAAACAGCTTTATTGAGGCATAATTGCCATAAAATAAAATGGCATGTATTGAAAGTGTGAAGCGGGTGTTTTCACAAGTGTATGCCCCAGGAAACCGTAGCCAGGGTGAGTAGAAAGGATGCGAGTGTCCCCCAAGTCCTCCTGCCTGCGCCATTACTCCATCGCTTCCGTCCTTAGGCAGCCATACATCTTCCTATTGCTAGAAGTTGACTTCCTTTCGTGTAAGGTATATAATAGAACTGTACAGGAGGGGCTTTTCCTTTTTATAAGCAAGTGGAAGTAAGTACATGGTTTTGTTTAATAGCAAAATTATTTTGAAATCCCCCATGTTATTCCAAGTGTCTATGGCCTGTTTTTTATTTTATTTTTATTTATTTATTTTTTATGCCAGTGTTCCACACTATGTTTATAGTGGACATAATGCCATTGGTGCATCCATTCATCTCTAGACCGACATTGACTTTGTTTCCAGTTTGGGGTTGTTACAGCTAGAGCTGCTGTGGGCATTCATGCACAGGTTGTAATCACATATGCATGTCTAGTGATGCCTAACCCACACCATCTTAACTGTTTAATGTGCAACGAGACTTGGAATCTCAGGTACAGTTAGGGTTTGCATTGGAGAGATCCCTTGAGGGGAAGTGTTCAAGGATAGAGCTTCGGGGTCATGATTGAATCATGAGGGTTCTGGCTCCATCAACGGATTAACCCATTGGTGGGAAGATGGAAAGCCTGGTCTGCTTGAAGGAACTGCGTCACTGGTGTGTTGCTCATTGTCCCTAGTCTCCTTCTCATGCTCTCCAGGTCCCCGCAGTGGTAAGTAGTAGCTCTCCTTGTCCATGCCCCTCTGTTGTGTTTCTGCGTCATCACAGGCCTAGCCATGGAGCCAGCCATGAGCCCAACCTCCAAAATCATGAGCCAAATTAAACTCTTCTCTGGAACACTACTTTTCCTCAGTCAGGTGTGCTATTGCATGCCTTTAATCCCAGCTCTCATGAGGCAGAGGCAGGTGGATCTCTGTGAGTTTGAGGCCAGCCTGGTCTTCATATGAGTTCCCGGACAGCCAGGGCTATGTGGAGAGGCTTGGTGGAACAAAAGAAAGACAACAGAAAGCCCTTGCCTCAGATACTCTGTCAGGGTTAGGAAACTGGTGTGGAGCTCTTGGTTCCCAGCCTCACTGTTTTCCTTCTTTGTATGCTTTGCAGGAGTCTCTTTGTGGGTGCATTGCCGTAGGCCCTTTGTGTCCCCTATGCTTTGCAGGAGTCTCTTTGTGGGTGCACAATGGCCTCCAGAGGTCCAGGCTGTGCCCAGCCCTGGAAATCTTGGCTCAGTTGCTGTCCTAGCAGTGCCCTTGCTGTGGGGTGGGCGAGGGGGTCTGAGGGGAGTTCAGGGTGGGGTGGGAAAGCTTATTGAGCTTTTGATTACAATGACAGTATCAGGTTGAGAAGAATTGACATCTTTACATTAAACCACACGCTCTACCTCAAACCTTCTATTCTCCTCCAGGGTTGTGTTTAATTTCTCTCAGCAATTACTGTCCTTACACTGTGTCTTTTTTTTTTTAAGATTTATTTATTATTTATTTATTACATGTACAGTATTCTGCATGTATCCCTGTAGGCCAGAAGAGGGCACCAGATCTCATTACAGATGGTTGTGAACCACCATGTGGTTGCTGGGAATTGAACTCAGGACCTCTGAGCAATCAGTGCTCTTAACCTCTGAGCCATCTCTCCAGCCATTACACTGTGTTTTTACACATTATTCTATTTATTCCTAAGTACCAAGATATCATTTATTTATTGGCCCTTTTGACTGTTTGCCTCAGAGAAATATTGACTTGCAACTCTTGCCCCTGTTAGATGCTTGCCTTTATTATTAGACTGAAGTTGTCTTTGTATACTCTGGTTCAGGCCCCTAATCTAATAAATGATGTACTAATATTTTGTTTCCCTCCAGCCCCCCATTGTGTGGATTGTCTTTTCGCTCTTTTCATGACTCTAAGTTAGTTTTGATGATTCCAACTTTCTTTTTCACTTAAAACTTTGGCTGTTGTATCTGAGGCTTTTTTCACCCTAAATTTGTGAAAATACTCATCATTTTCTTCTGAGAGTTTCATGATTTTTACCTCTTACATTTAGATCTGTTACTCTTAAGTTTTGTGCATTTTGTAAGTCGTGCTTTAGTCTTTAGCAAGTGGGTGTCTGCTTGTTCGGACTTAATGCTTTTTCCCTATTGCACTTGACTGTTTTCTTGTTTGTTTATGTTGTCTTGTGTATTAGTGGTTTGCTTGCGTGTGTGTATGTGCACTGTGTGTATGCATGGTTCCTGCTGAGGTCAGAGGATGGCGTTGCATGCAGTCCCTGGAACTCAGTTACAGATGCTGTGAGCTAAGCTACCACAGGGTACTAGGAACTGAACCCTGGTCGTCTGTAAGAGCAGCACGTGCTGTGCAACCCCTGAGCCATCTCTCCTGCACCGTCAATGAGCTGTCTTCACTACTCCATCGGGCTGTGCCTCTTGTTGCCTGCGGTCACACTGATGACTGAAGCTCAGCAGGATTTGAAGTTGGCAGGTTTTAGTCCCCACATTTTCCTTTCCACGATATCTAGGCTGTTCGAATTTAGAATCAGTTTACAAGTTTCTGTGACAGAGCTAGCTGCGTATTGTTTATTTATTTGGTGATGATGGGGATCAGATCCAGGGCTTGTAGATGCTAGGCAAACACTCCACCACTGAGTTACACCCCTTGCTCCTAGCTGGGATTCTGTTAGGATCGGCATGGATTCTTAAAGATCTGCTAAGATTTTTTTCAAGACAAATTGTTAGCTTTCTGAGTAACATTTTGTACCTGTTTTGTTCCCGCACATATTTAATTCTTTTTGGTGCTAATGTGTTGGGATTGCTTTTCATTTATTCACTTATTTATTCCTTTATTTACTTAGTTTTTATCTCTACCACTTGTCCTCTTCCTCCCACAATGCTCTGTACCCCACCTGTTCTTCTCCCGAGTCTACAGATACCTTACTCTCGTCACGGGTCACCTTGTTACTTATTGACGCCCTTGCTGCCTCCCGCCACAGAGACAGAAGCCGTCAGGTGGGAGCAGCGTGTCTGCTGTGCCCGCGGGGTCGGTCATTCTTCCCATCTTCCCACAACCCTGGGTGATGGGTACAAACGATCGTCCTGACTTCTTGAACTGATCCCAGCCCTTCGTTTTCCCAGGAGTCTCTGCTGCTTCCCTGGGGACCCCCCCCCCATTTGGGTATAGTCCCTCTCTGCTGTCTTTCATGCCCATTCGTCTGACCAGCCGCCTGGCTCTGTCCTTTGCCAAGGCAGCTGATTTCCTTTTGTCTTCTTCTTTTGGTCCCCATCTCTGATTTGTCTCTAGGTCATTGTCTCCTAGACCTAGCTACAAAAACCTTTGCCATAGACTCACGAGAGCAATTTGTTTATAAATACAGGGTTGTGGACCTTGGCAGGAGGTCATGATGCAGCAGGGGTGGGGTGGGGGGTGGGGTGGGGGGTGGGGTGGGGGGTGGGGTGGGGGTGGAACAGACTGCTCTCTGTGGCATTTGTGGCCATTCCTATCTAACCTAGTTATTACTGTGTGTCACTTGATACCTCAGAGCCTGTGTCTTGAAGCAGCCCTTCCTTGTCTTTCTACTCATCTCTGACACACCTTTTCTAACCACAGGGGTCTTCTGTCACTCTTCCCTAGCTGGGTTTGAGAGAGTGCTTCCCTTTGGAGTTAGTTCCTAGTCATCTCTTGACACTGTTTTTCGATGCATGCATGCACGCACCAACACAGCGTTTTTGGGGATCAGGTGAGTAGGAGACAAGAACTCATTTGTCATGCTGTCCTGGAAGATGACCTTGAACTTCAGACCCTTACACACCCTGAGCTCCAGCCATCTTAAGTTGCTCTCCTCAGGGGCAGATCTTTGGTCACATCTTCCTAAGTCTCCTAAAATTTGTATGGAGCAAACTTACATATCCCATAGACACGCTTCCTGCCTGATAAACTGTAGTTCCTTCTGTCTCTGTCTCAAACAAGACTCACTTGGATGGTAAAGCCCTATTCTTGGCAGAGAAGCAGTCAACCTTCCCTTTCTGCTGAGTTACAAATGCTTTTTAGAACTTACTGTCGGTCATAGTCTTCAGACATCTCCTAACTTTATGGTGACTTTTGTTTTTGACTTTTGTTTTAATTTTCTTGGTATTAGGAATGATCTTTTTCCTTTTGTAAGACAGTGTAGCCTTAGAGACAATCCATTTAAGATACGTGTTATGATATGTTGATGTCCCTTGATTCACAAAGGCTTCGAACAGTTGGTATCCTTTCAATATCAAAAGTTTAGAAGTTCAAAATTTGGATAGTTAAACAGCTTACAACTAACATCTGTAGTTCTTACTGTCTTAACTTCTTGCAGTATCTTCTCACGGGGGGGGGGGGCGGGGGAGGGTCATTAGGGCTTATGTAGCAAGAACATCTTCAAAACTATTGAAATTATGTCTGTATTTTAGCATGTTCCAAACAAAGTTAGTTACTAAGGAAACTTTCACGAATGAAAATCGCCAGCGTTTTTGTGATAATACTTTTTATGTTGTTGTTTGTATTGTTTTCGGAAGGTCAAAAGTTGGACTGCTGTGATGTTTGCATTTTTAAAGATTTCGCTGTGCTGACCTCTCTGTGGAGACCCATCGCCGATTTCCCGTCTATCTTTGCAGGTGTCCTTAAAGACTATCTAAGAGAACTTCCTTCTCCGCTGATAACAAAGCAGCTGTATGAGGCCGTGTTAGATGCCATGGTGAAAAGTCCTTTGAAAATGTCATCAAATGGTTGTGAGAATGAGTCCGGTGACTCCCAGTTCGCAGTCGGCCTACTGAATTGCTTGCCGGATGTTGAGAAGGTAGGTGTACTTGGTAGACCTTTTCCTGAAAGCTGGCACACGAGCTCATCGTTTAGACTCCATCACCACACACAGCCTTTTAGGTCTCTGGCATTTGTGGCTCTTGGGTTTAGGTCCTGCCTTTCCCACTTCTTAAATGCATCTGGAAATCAGTTTTATGTTTTCCGCGTATGACTTTAGCCCAGGCAGGAATGTGTCTTGAGTTCTCTTTTAAGGATTTATTTTATTAGCTGGGCAATAGTGGTTCATGCCTTTAATCGTAGGACTTGAGAGGTAGAGGTAGGTGGATCTTTGTGAGTTTGAGGCCAGCTTGGTTTACAGAGTGAGTTCGAGGACAGCCAGGGCTAGAAAAACAAAAACAAATAACAAGCAACAAAAAAAGAAAGGGCGCGAAGGAAATGTCTATCAAAGTAACACTTAGGAACAGTATTACACGTGAAAAAGATTTACATGTATGTACGTGTGTGTACCATGTGCATGCTTGGTACCTACAGTGTGGAGAAGAGGGTGCTGGCTCCCCTGGAGCTGGAGTTACCTTGTGAGCTGCTTGACCTAAGTGCTAGGAGCTGAACTCAGGTCCTCTGCAAGAGCAGCAAGCACTTTTAACCACTGCGCCATCTTTCCAGCCCCCAAATAGCAGTTTGTAAATTCACATCCATTGCTTTAATATAATTTATAAAGAAACTACAGCTCCTTTCTTAAAATGTTGATAAAACATACCACTACTTAAAAAGAATAACTCTTACCATAGGTGCTTAATATTTAAATGACTTTCCCTTTTGAGCCAACTTCCTTTATTAATTTAAGGATTTGAAACAGTAAATTTTCCCCCCACCCCAGGAAATATATATACATATGTATTTGGTTTCTTGAGACAGGGTTTCTCTGTGTAGACCTGGCTGTCCTGGAAACTCTCTGTAGACCAGGCTGACCTTGAACTTAGAGATCCACCTGACTTTGCTTCCCGAGTGCTGTGTTTAAAGGGCATACACCACCATGCCTGGCTCAGGACATTTTTCTTTTAAACTCTGCTGCTATTTTTTCTCCTTATAATTTTGTCTGTTTAAGAATATTTGTTAGTTAAAAAGCATGATGGGAAGCGAGAGAAGCGTGTCGTCCCTTAGAAGCCATTCTTTTACATTAGATCGCCACAGTCCTGGCTCTGCTTCTAACTTCACACTTCCTAGTGTGCTGCCCCTTTGTGCAAGCCCAGGGTCGTCTTTATTTAAGCCAACAGCAGCTGCTGGTGTTGCTTTAGAGGATGAAGGAAATGGCTTTTCCTAAAGGGGCCAGTTGGAATTTAGAATACATTACTAATATTTTATGTGGACGTCTAACCACTGAGTGTGTTAAATCCTGTTTGGACATATTTAGGCGACCCTGAAGATGTTGTTAGACCACCTGAAACTGGTAGCTTCATATCATGAAGTGAATAAGATGACGTGCCAGAATTTAGCTGTGTGCTTTGGGCCAGTGTTGCTTAACCAGAGGCAAGAGACTCCGACCCACAACAACAGAGTCTTCGCCGATTCCGAAGAGCTCGCCAGCGCCTTGGACTTCAAGAAGCACATCCAGGTTCTTCATTACTTGCTCCAGCTCTGGCCAGGTAAAGGAGTTTCTGAAGGATATTTCTGTAGCAGCCATGGGATATGTGGGGTAGAAATGATTAAAATGCCTGGATGTGATTTGGGTGGGGGGGGTATGTAGATTTTTGCTTTTTCAATTCTGAAGAATTGCCACCTGCTCTATAGTGTTTGCTGTTTGTATCTTGTGTTTGATATAACGCTGTTTGAGCCATTGTCCACGTTTTGGGTGTAGTAAGACCTGGATTGGAATGCCGCTTGCACCACATACCTTGGCAAGCTAAGTTTATAGACTGAAAATTAAGTGCAAGATTGTGCTTAAGGCACAGCACAGCCCTGAACACATGGTGCTCAGTTATTCATGTAACTTCTATTTAGTTTGCTATGAAGCAAGTTTCATTTTTCTTTTTAAGTCTAGTCTTAGGATTTATTTTGTTTCTATTTTGTGATGTGCTCATGAGGATGGGAGTCTGAGGAGGTCAGAAGAAGGGTCCCCTGCAGCAGGAGCCAAGCAGGCAATTGTGAGCTACCAGATGTGGGTTCTCCCGAAGAGCAGCAAGTGCTCTTAAACACTACGTCATCACTCCAGCCCATGTCCATTCTTTGCGACAGAACCACAATATAATGGCTATTTTTAAATTACTTCAGCTCCTGCTGGCGATTATCTCTGACATTTTGGCCTTAAAAATTGGTTTTGCATGGTACTGAAGAGATGAATCAATGGTTAGAGCACTGGCTGCTCTCCCAGAGGACCCAAAGGGCAGGCTCAACTCCCAGCACCCACGTGGTGGCTCACAACCATCTGTAACTCCAGTACCAGGAAATCGGATGCATTTCTTCTTCTCACATCTGTGGGTATCAGCCACTCACATGCAGAAAAAAAATACATAAATAACAAACATTTGTAAAACTTTTGTTTAGTGTGCGTGTGTGTGTGTGCGCGCGTGCGCGCCTGAGGTCAGAGGACAGCTCCTCCCACCATGTGGTACTATGGATGGGACTGGGATCCTCACCCTTGAGCAGTAAGCTCTCTTACTCACCGAGCCATCTTCCCAGTCCTACCCCTTACTTCTCTGTGCTACACACACATCTGTGTGTGTGCAAATTTAAGTAGATTCATTACCAGCTAGATTTTGCTTGTCTAAGATTTATTTTGTTTTGTATGTGTGTTTTGCTTGCATGTCTGTCTGATGTCAGATCCCCTGGAACTGGAGTTACAGACAGTTGTTAGGGACTAGGAATTGAACCTGTTTCCACTGCAGGAACAACCAGTGCTCTTAGCCTCTGAGCCGTCTCCACAGCCCGTTGACTGTATTGTAATGATAACTTGAAACAACTCTCTCATGTTTAGCTAGCATCTTATTCCAAAGACTTTTGTTGCTGGTTGTAATCATAACCTTTTTCTATAACCTCTTATTTTCCTTGAAAGTACCTTAGACAAAAGACAGAGCCAGGCAGAGGTTGAGGGAAACAATGGTTTTCCCTTCTGAATTGCCTGTTAGGGATTTCAGGGATGGGGACATCATGTAACTAAGGTGCAGTTACTGGGCCTGTGTAACTGAGGTGAGAGAGAGTGCCGGAGCTGTCCCATGCATCAGTGGAAGGGCACACAGCTTAACTATTCTGGGAATCTCCTGCACTCCAGGGCTCTTAAGAGTTGCCTTCAGCCTCTTTCGTTATATGCATTTTCATACACATTTTGCTTTTTGTGTTACTGTTGTTACTCCCCTCCCTCACCCCAGTTTGGGGCAAGCAGATAATTTGCTTAGAGATTTCTGTGTGTACTGTCCTGTCTTCGAAGTGCAAAGCCTGCTGTATTAGCCCCTGAAGGGAACACTGCCTCATCGTCCAGCACACCTGCTTGTCAATCTGCCAATGGCTTTGCCGCTGGGTGAGCAACAGGTCCTGGCACTGCAGAAACACAGACACCTGTATAGGACAGTCTTCCTCTTACATGTTTTGTATTTGGGGCTTTAAAAAAAAAAAAACAAAGGGCTTGGGATTGAAAGGAGTGCTGGATGGTATTGTTAGTCTCCACTACTTTCAGAGTGGAGCTGTAGATTTAAAAGTTGTTGCTGTCCACATTGCTTGCGATGAATACACTTGGGGCAGGGTTTCCTACTTCTTACTGGGTTGTAAAATTTTTAAGGTCATAGATGATATTTACCTACCCCATATTCTTACTTCCTGGCATTAACGGCCATCTAGCATAGTTCTAGTAAATAAAGATGTTGTTTTCTAAGGAAAAGTAATACAGGGAACTGAAATCTACTGGTATAAAATATAAGGACAAATGAAGTTTTTAGTACTCATTACACTTTGAAGTGTCCTCAGCAGCCTTACTCGGTGGTGTTTTTACTTCTTTCTGTTGAAAACAGTGAACAGAAGCCCAGGGAAAGCCAGGCCTTCTCTTTCAGGTTAAGGTTAGCCGTTTTCCTTACAAATTTGGAGGACAACATCCCAGTATCAGTAGTTTAAAAAGACAGCTGCATTGATGCTTCCAGAAATTGATTTTTAGTCTAACGTAAAATACTGATTTAATTGGCTTCTTGAGTGTTCTCCAGAGATACTGGCAAAGTAGAGTTTCAGTAGAGTCCTGGCTGAGCAGAAGAGATGTGGATTTTTCCTGAGGTTGCCAGTGTGCTGTCAAACTGCTTGGCAGAAACTTTGGGCCCAAGAGTGACAACAGGAATAGCACAGAGGACAAGGGAAGCCAAGAAGCAGCGAGATAATAAGGTCTCTTGTCCTCCACTGGTGCCAGGCACACACCTGTACACATACAAACATGTGGGCACAAGATTCATGCGAAAAATAAATCTCTAAAAGTGAAGTAAGTAGAAACATTAAAAACATGCAATGTACAGCTGCTAAAATAAAAGTTACATTTGTGAAATATCTACATTTGTGAAATGTCGGGAATATTATTTTGAGTGGAAGACTAGGATGTGTATATCTTTCTTAAGTTGTTTTCTTTTGCAAACAAACCTTCATTGTATGTTGCAAAATCGAGTTATCACTGGTTTATGTCCCCTTAGTGAGGATGCTATAAGGGAGAGACACATGGAATAAGCCAGAAGAAAGAGATATAGGCAGTGTGGATAGTCTTTAATAACTACGCCTAAGCATTTTACAGTCGACTTTATATGCAGAAGAACCTTAGACAAATACTTTGCTCTAAGTAAGCAATGGAAGTCTTGTTTTGTATGAAGTCCTGTGTGTCTGTCCTCTTCCCTGTGACCAGTACAATGCAAGATGGCAGAACACAGCTTATCTCAGAAAAAAATATTTTAAATACAAAGAGTGTTATTTGAGGTTGTTAAATCTCTAACCAGAATTGGAAAATAAAATATCTGTGCTATTTCCAGGCAAAAAGAAGACGATTAGTAGCTAATGCTGTATAATCACTCAGGTAAACAATGGCCGAGTCTTGTAGTCATGCATTTTATCCAAGTGAAATTTGGGCTGCTTGGTAAATGATGACACACTGCTAACTGCAAAAAAAAAAAAAAAAGCCCACTAAGGTCAGAGCTAGAAAATCACTTTAGATGCCTTTGCCTCGGCTAGATGTTTGTAGAAAAAGAACTTCTTGTTTCATGCCATTTACGCACGTCTTGCCTGCTTTTTTGCTGTAGCCTTTAATGTAAGAGAAGCTACTAGCATAGAATTACAGCTAGATAACAATTAACTTGCACAGAAAGTTAATCAGCGTTGGGAGGTCTCATTGGGGAATGTTTCTATTGAGCATGAAGTAGTATCACTGAACGTTCTAGTCTGTATGCCTAATCTTAATTATACGGTGGCAGGAAAATTATTGTGGGATGCTTTCTTCCAATAGAATGCATGTCTCAAGTGCATGGATGTGGTTGGTTATTAAATGGCTTTATTGTCTGCTCCGTCTTCCTAAGGCGAAGGCTGTAACTAAAGCACATGTATTCATTTCTAGTGCAACGTTTAGCGGTCAAAGAACCCACAGACAGTTTGTGCCTGGAGCAGTCATCTCTGAATCATTTGAGGCGAAAGAAAGAGCGGCCATGTGTATTGAATCTGAGCAGTGTGGATTCATCGGGGGTGCTGAGGCCAAGACAGACCAGACTCGATAGTCCACTCAGCAACCGCTATGCAGGAGACTGGAGCAGTTGTGGGGAAAACTACTTTTTAAATACAAAAGACAATTTCAAAGATTTGGATTATGATTGTGTTCCCTTAGAAGATGGGGAAGATAGAGATCATTGCAAAACCAATGGAGCAGAGGTCGTGATGGAGCAGCAGCTTGCCATGTCTAAGGCGTGCACGTTCCAGACGTACTTGACAATGGAGACCATCGAGTCTACGATGAATCAGAAGGCTAACCTCAGAGATCTGCAAGAAAGTATTGATGCTTTGATTGGCAGTCTGGAGCGTGAGCTCAACAAGAATAAACTCAATATGAGTGTTTGAGATGGGGGGGGGCGCTTTATTTCAGGTCAATCCTCAGTTTCCTTTCTTATTCCTCCCTTCGTGTCACTGTGTGTGTGTATGTGTTCCTAATAAGTTCATGTGATTCAATTACAGACACTATTCATTAATATGGTTGTTTTAGTTATGACAGTTTGGGGGGCATAAAGCTAACTTGGACTTTGGGGAACATTTTAATAAGCCTAGCTGGTCGTGTGGAGGGAACTTGGATCAGGAACGTTTTCACCCCTCAAGCCTTTGGAGCATTGTGAGGACTGCTCTTCTGTAGGTGGGGACAATTGTCCTCTGCAGAGGACACTGCAGCTGGCCAGGCTGATTTGCAGTCAGAGTCCTAGTGCAATGCCATTTGGTCACATTTCATTTGCAATACGAATGCTGCTATAAGAAAACTTTTTATAAATGTAAAATTATACAGAGAATAATTAATGTATTTTGTATTAACATCCAGTAATTATTTAAGCTTATAAAAATTAAATATTTTTATGTTTCTGAGAACGTGTATATATTTATAAGTGCGTTGTGTGTATAGGTTTTACAATGAGGGAAGGGTTTGGCTCTAGAATTCTATATATTTTAAAAAGTATATTTCATGGGGCCAAATTTGTTAGCTTAAAAATGTGTTCTTCAGGGAAAGACTGTTTAAGTTAAAAGAATAAGTTACATAAAAGCCTCTTGAATGAAGACACACCAGAAGTGTTAGAGGAGAAATGATGGTGCTTCCCTTTTGCTTCTTAGATACAGTGTCCCTGTGAAAAGTCATAGTCTAAGCTGGACCCTTCAGCTGCGTAAGGGACCCAGTGACCCCTTAGTGACCTAAGGAAACCTCACCTGTTCTGTGCATTTCTGCCTTCTGTGATGCTGTATTTATTTGTAGCGGTACACCTAAAATGTTGACTTCACAATTGCTCTTGTTTCTAAAGAAGTCCTCTTGCCAGGATGCTGCATGATACCATTGTTTTTTATTAACTTATTATTATGTACATCTGTGAGGCAGTTGTTACAGAAACAATACTGGTATTTGAAAAGACGTAAATTTAGAAGGCTTTTAAAAATTAAATTGTCATGTGTTTAAAAAAAAACTTTTATACTTACAGATGTATAATTATAAAAGTATAAATGAAACCTGAGTTACCAGGTTTAAAGTGTGACAGCTGTGCAAAAACTGGCTTCTTAATGTATTTCTAAATATTAGAGTGTTTAATGTAACAACCACTTCTGTGTAATACACGAACATTCAGGTATTTAATTTGAAAGCCACTGTATAGGAAAAGTAACTATTTTTGTGTGAGACTTTCATTTTCTACAACTTTGTGTAACAAACACCGGAGACTATGCACCAGGTGTGTGTCATGGGTGAACAAAGTGTTGTTAAATGTTTCCCAGGGAAAGTTGTCCATTTTCTTCCTTTTGTATCATAATACACTATGTAAGTAAAGTAACTTTTATTAAAAATATTATAACAGTGTCATGCTATTATAACTGATTTTAAGGGTTATTTTCACATTCTTATTTCTCTGTGTAGTCCTGGCTGTCCTGGAACTTGTCTGTAGACAAGGCTGGCCTCTAGCTAAGAGATTCTGCCTGCTTCTGCAGTGCTGGGACTCTCTGTCTCTCTCTCTGTCTCTCTCTCTCTGTGTGTCTCTGTTTCTCTCTCTCTGTCTCTCACACTCATTCTTAAATGAGTTATTCAGATATATATTCATTATATGTCCAAAATTGGAATTTTCTGGAGACTGAAATACTTCAAGGTCTATTCTTATTTTTATTTATTTATTATTATTATTATTATTATTATTATTATTGGGTTTTCGAGACAGGGTTTCTCAGTGACTTTGGGGCCTGTCCTGGAACTAGCAGGCTAGTCTCGAACTTACAGAGATCCACCTGCCTCTGCCTCCCCAGTGCTGGGAGTAAAGGCGTGTGCCACCAACGCCCGGGTTCTTATTTATTTTTATTGAGAATAGTTCTTAACTAGTGTCTGTCACCTTGATTATGTTAAACATTTTTTTTTTTTCTAAATCGCTGTCAGAACTACAAGCCTTTTTTTCTTGCCTTTGCTGCTTCCAGAATTAACAAATTTAGGTGCCGTTACATAAGCATTTAAAAAAATTACACCATATTTTAGCGTGTGCACGCGCGTGCGTGTGTGTGTGTGTGTGTGTGCGTGCGCGTGCGTGCGTGTTTGGGTGGGGCACACTGACACCTCCCATGGTACGTGTGTGGGGTCTTAGAGATCAAACTTAGGCATCATGCTTGGCTTTTCCCACTGAGCCATCACTGCCCCGAGCAAGTCCTCACTGAAATGTGTTCTGATCCACATCCGTCAGCTTCTGGATCTGTTTGCTGAGAGCCCCGGTCCCTGCATCTGCTGGAGGCTGAGCAGGGCACATCAGGATAAACTTGGAATCTCTCCATGTCTCACCGGGTCTTCATTTGTCCCCCCCCCCCCCCTTCATTTTGATTGGCCTTGCAGTCAGGCACCTGTTGAAACTAGTTTAGAACACTGGAGGCGTTTCACATTAGGTAAACAGTCTTTCCGGTTGTGTAGAAAGCTGAGGCAGAAACATGGTCACTCAGACGAGAAACAGCAGTAGAGGTGTGTGTGTGTGTGTGTGCGTGTGCGTGTGTGTGTGTGTGTGTGTGTGCGCGTGTGTGTACGTGTTCGTGTGCGTGTGAGGAGCCCAAAGAATCTGCCTGCAGGTTTTGGAAGCTTAGCTCAAACAGTAGAAGGGAGTTGCCAGAAAAAAAGAAATCAAATGGCCAGGCATGATGGATGGCACACACCTTTAATCCCAGCACTCAGGAGGCAGAAACGGGGATCTCTGAGTTTGTGGCCATCGTGGTCTACATAGTAAATTCCAGGACAGCCAGGTTACATAGACCTTGTCTAAAAACAAAGACCCCAAATGATTTCCTGCTAAAGTGGTCCTTAGATTAGATGGTATTGGTAGCAGCCCTTATCAGAGTGCTTCATGATGTCCTGTGTCTGGTGCTGATGCTGGTCACCCCCAGACTCTGGACCAGAAGGCTTATTGCACATCTCTAAGGACTGCAATGTCTCATAGCCATCCATGAAAATGGCAGAATGTGTAGTTTTATGTTAGGGACCCAAAGAAAATGAATTCGGAATTTATTTCCTGATCACAGAGTAATTTATATTTATTTATTTTGGTTTTTCAAGGCAAGGTTTCTCTGTGTAACAGCTCTGGCGGTACTGGAACTTTCTTTTGTAGAACAGGCTGGCCTCTAACTCACAGAGATCCACCTGCTCTGCCTCCTGAGTGCTGGGGTTAAAGGCGTGCGCCACCACTGCTTGGCATATAATTTTGTGTTAAAATCATCATTTTTAACTTGAAATGACAAAATTGGATTACCCTTAAGACTAACAACTCCCCCAAAGGCTGAAGGATCACTGCAAGTTCAAGGCCAGCCAGGACTATTTAGTAAAACCCTGTCTCAAAAATTCCCACAAATCCTAATTGGGTTCCTATTCACCTGAGTATAGGAGAGATGATCTTTGACCTCCATTTCCTGGCCAGTTTGCAGAAACCCATCTGGTTGGTTCTCATAGCTGGTGAGCAGTGGAGTACTGCATGCAGTTCTTGGTCACACTCTGACTCAGCTGAACATTAACCGGCTAACTCAAGCATAAAAGGGATTTTAAAACCAGGAGTCAGAGGCAAGGTTCTCCTAAGGTGTTGACAGACTTATATCTTGTACTTGCTGGTTTCAAAGATGGTTATATCTCAAGTTGCACACTTTCGATTTGTGATGTTTTATAAGTTATGCTTCAGTTAAAAAAATGTATGCTAAAAATAATCGGCAGGCTAAGAAAGTTTGAGAAGAGGTAGGAACGATGGTAGTCCTGATGTCCCTGCTGTGATGACCACGCCCTGATGCCCCTGCTGTGGGGACCACGCGGCGCCCTGATGCCCCTGCTGTGGGGACCACTGCCCTGATGCCCTGATGCCCCTGCTGCTGATGCCCACGCCCGGTGGCCCCGGCGGGGGGGCCCCCCCCCGGGGCCCCTGATGTCCCTGCTGTGATGACCACGCCCTGATGCCCCTGCTGTGGGGACCACTGCCCTGATGCCCTGATGTCCCTGCTGTGATGACCACGCCCTGATGTCCCTGCTGTTCTGACCACGCCCTGATGCCCCTGCTGTGGGGACCACTGCCCTGATGCCCTGATGTCCCTGCTGTGCTGACTACTGCTCTTCGGCATTTCTGATGTGCATTTCCTGACTAAGGCACCAGTTCTGTCCCCTGTCTCCATTGGTTAGGAATTCACTCTATACTTCCCCAGGAACAGTGGTTCTCAACATCCTTAATGCTGTGACCCTTACACAGTTTCTCATGTTGTGGTGACCCCCGGCCATGAAATTATTTTCATTGCTACTCCATAACTGTAATGTAAGTACCTGACACTCAGCATGTCTGATGTGCAGCCCCTGTGAGAGGTCGTTGGATTCCCACCACTCCCGGGTCGAGTGAGAGCCGCTGTAGCCTAAAGCGTATGGTAGTGGATTTCCTGACTACAGGGGGATAATCCGAGTGGCACAACTGAGGAGGAAATGCCCACAGCGCTTCTCTGTTCTCTGTTTTACCCTGTCGCTGCCATGCTGGTCCCCTCCACCTACCCCTATATCCTCCCATCAGAGACCTGAGTGTGCTGGGTCCCAAACTGCCGTACTTGTTCCTGCTCACAGCCTAACGTGTTTCTTCTGTTTCCCAACGGCTGCCGCTGTTCCCTCTGTGTCCACGGTCTGTGGAGACCAAAGTGCCGTGGAAAGGTAGAGTCCCACGCTTGCTGGGTGTTGCTGTTCCTTGTATTCAACCCGTCCTGGAGTGTCGCTTGTCCCAGGGGCTCTCCGCGTGCCCCTCTGCTTGGGAAGCTCTATCCACCTGTTACTTAGGTAGAGCCTTTTCGTCATTCCTGTCTCTGATGAAATGTCACTTCAAAGAGGCTATGTATTAATTACTTTTCTATTGCTGAGACAAAACTCCGTGACCAGTGTTTGGGCTTACTGTTCCAGAGGGGTAAGAGCCATCATGACAGGCAAGTGGCAGGTATGGCTGTTGGAACTGAAAAGCGGGAGACGGAGAGCAAAGCGGGAATGGTGCACGGCTTTTAAACCGCAGTGGCGTACTTCGTTCAGCAAAGCCACACCCCCTAAACCTTCCCAAATAGCACCGCCAACCGGGGACCACGTGCTCAAACATCTGAGCCTGTGGGGGACATTTTCCTTCAAGCCATCGCAGGCTGGAGATGGCTCAGCAGGCAAGGGCGCTGGCTGCCAACCAAGTGCAAGGACCTGAGTGACCAGGTGGACGGGGAGGGCTGCTTCCGGTTGCTTCCGACTCCCTTATGTGCACAGTGTCACACACACACGCACATGTGTACATGCACAATAAGCAAGTTTAGAAAACAAAACATTATTAGCCCTTATCATACCTACTGGGACTGGCATATTTCCATCAGAGTGGTTGCCTGAAGTTACCTTGTTTTGTTATCTGCCTCTGCCTTTCAGATGTAAACAGTGTTCCCATGGCAACAAGAACCTTGTACGTCTAGTTCATTGCCATATGCCTAGAGGGGCAATAACTTAGAAGATAATCAGCTAATGAATGACTGCAAAAGATACTCTTAGGATAGTTGTCTTTTTATTGAGGAACGACAAAAACTAAGGGCTGTAAGATGCATATTTGACTTTAAAATATTCTTCACTCGTTGGGGCTGGAAAGATGGCACAGTGGTTAAGAACACTTGTTGCCTGTAACTCCAGCACCCTGCAGGAGACCCAATGCCCTCCTTTGCGTAAGCACATGCATGACACATGAATACACATATACACAAAGTGCTCTTTCATGATAAATGGTCCGTCTTTCTTTTTGTCTTAATGACATATCTTTGCTTTGGAATTAAAATGGACGTGGAAAATCAATCACAAAAGTTAGTTGCTAAATTTTGGGTAGTAGCTGTTACAGAGTGCGAATAATTAAATAAATTACATAGGACAGGTCTCTGAGGAAAGTTTTATTTAAATGTGTCTTTCTACAAATGGTGAGTAAAATATACCCCTTTTGGTTCTTGCCAGATTCATCTGATTGTGTATTATAGATGGAATTTTCTAGAAATGCAAAGATGTATTTTCTACTTTATTAGAAGGAAATAGTTTATAAGTAGGATGCTTCCTTGTTAGAGAAGCCGAGAAATCACACAGGGAACAGATAAAACATCTGATGGTTTTATTTTTCTCGTCCAGTGTCCTAAGACTCTTGCTTGGTGGGGGAGGGGTCTTCACCCTTGCTTAGGGCCTCTCAATACACTTTCAAGTCATTTGTGTGTCTTTGTTTTTGCCTAATGGAGACATGGGCATAGCGAAATCTTGGGTTTTTCCTACATATGTCTGTGGAAATTCCACTCATCAAAATAAAGTCCCATGGATAAGTTAAAATTCCAACTGTAGAAATATGTAGTTCA